TTTACCTCCGGTTTTTCCTTGGCCAGCACCGTCTTCGGTTCAGCACATACCTCTCGACTCGCCACCATTCTCCACACAATTCTCGGGTCCCATGTTTGTGGGCTCGCCGGGTGTCTCGTCATCAATTCCTCATGCTCGCACGCCCACAACTTCTTCTGGTGGCTCCCCTCTCGCTGAACTGGCTCAGACAATCTCCCATGTGGCTACCAACGCCACCAATATTGCCACAACATAACTCCTAGCTATTGAAGATTATACCACCTGGCGGATCCAGTTCGAGTCTTTTCTCGTTTCGCAAGGGCTCCTAGGCATGGTTGATGGCTCCCTTCAGGTACCACCTGCTTATTCCATGGATTTTCTAAACCGCCAAATTCCAATCCCAACTTTTCTATTTGGTTGCGAATTGACCAAACCATACGGTCTTATTGATGTTCGGGATCTTAAACATTCTTGTGAAATTTGGGAGCGATTAGAATCTCGGTTTATGTCTGCCAGTCTGGCAAGGTCTATGGAATTGAAGCATTTATTATCTCAACTTAAAAATAAACCTGATCAGTCCATGGATGCTTATTTAAGAGGAATTAAAATTTTGGCTGATGATCTTGCTACTATAAATTGTCCTGTTGCTCCACGTGAATTGCTGAAAACTACCATTATGGGGTTAGGCCCTGAGTATGAATCACTGTTCATAACTATGTCTCTTTTTCCTCAAAATTTTCCTTTTGAGACACTCTGTAATCATCTTTTTGAGCAAGAGCAGCGGGTCCTTTATCTTCGGTCTCAAGAAACCTCATCGATGCATCAAGCTTTTAGTGCCCAGCTTCCGAATCATGGACAACAGCCTGCACAGCATCCTGGACAGAACGCCGGTCAGCAACAAGCTCCACAGCAGGCCGGTCAGCAGCGACTCAGTTATCCAGCAGCTCCATGTGGTGGACGCGGAGGTCGCGACCGGGGCGGCAGAGGCCGTGGTGGCCGTGGACGGGGTCGCGGGCAGCAACCGGTCTTCTACGGCCAGCCTGGAGCTTGGTATCCTCCCTACGGTCAGTCGGGGAACCATTTTCAGCCGCCGGTATATGTAGCCACAGGGGGTGGCAATTCGGCAAGGTTGGCACTCCGGTATTGTATTTTGTAATCATCTGTGTCACGTTTAAATATTAATGTTTTACCTGTTTGTGCTACTAACTTGGTTCCTGCAGGCTCTTCATCAGATGAGGGTATTCTTGGGCCAGTTCCCCGTCCGGTTGTGTGTCAGATTTGTTTTTCTGCAGGTCACTCTGCCATCTCGTGTCCCTCTCGTTTCACACAGTCTTCTGCACAAGATATGTTGACTACTCCCGGTGAATCTAATTCTGCCTTGTGGTATCCTGATTCGGGAGCTTCTGCTCATATGACCGCATCGGAAGGTATTTTAACTAATAAATCTGCTTACACTGACTTTAATTCTATTAGTGTTGCTAAAGGTGCCCATTTACCCATTCGTCATATTGGTGATGTTGCATTACCATCATCTGGTCGTCCCCTTACATTAAAATCTGTTTATCATGTGCCTCAGTTAAAATACAATTTAATTTCTATTCAAAGATTGTGTGCTAATAACAATTGTACTGTTATTTTTGATAAAAATTCCTTTTTTATTAAGGACTGAGCCACGGGAGCGGTGCTTCTTCGAGCTACCCGTAGTGGACCACTTTATCCTCTTCATCTGCCGTCATCATCACCTTTAGTCCTAGCTTCTGTTTTCGCTTCTGGCTCTGTGTGGCACCGTAGAGACTAGGTCACTGCTATGACAATATTTTACAATTCCTTAAACGTTCCCAATTTATATGTACTCATACTCCTCTTACCCATACTTGTGTGGTTTGTCGATTAGGGAAATCACAACGTTTGTCTTTTATCCCATGTGCCACAAAAGTGAAGTTTTCATACACTTTAAAAATTTTAAAGTTTTGGTTGAAAATCTTTTTAATCAGAAAATTAAAATTTTTCAAAGTGATGGAGGGGGTGAATTTGTTAATCGTAATATGCAGTAATTTTTTACCGATAATGGTTTTTATTTTCAAAAATCTTGTCCTGACACACCTCAACAAAATGGGGTTGTTGAGCGTAAACATCGTCATTTTCTCGAATTAACTCGTACTATGCTTCTCAAAGCATCTGTACCGAGTCAGTTCTGGGACGATGCACTTTTTACTGATGCACTCAATAGCTCCTCACCCTATCAAAAATTATTTCATCATGTCCTGGATTATTCCTTTATGCGGGTATTTGGTACAACATGTTATCCAAATTTCACGGCTTCGTCTGCCAATAAACTTTCCCCAAGTTCCGTTCAATGTGTTTTTCTTGGCTATGCATCTGGCTATAAGGGTTATCGTTGTTATGATCTTGTCATTGGTAGAGTTCACATAAGTCGTCATGTTAGGTTTCATGAGGATATATACCCCTTTCAAACTATCCTTAAATCTGGCCATACTGCTCCTACTCCCTCCACCCCGTTTCCTATGAAACTCACGGCCATACCGACTGCCAACGACACTACCAGTACCTCGACCATCTTGCCTCTTCTCACCAGGCCGAGCTCGCCCACTGCCAACTCACACTCTCCTCTAACCCCTGTTTTTCCTTTATCCGATCCACCCACACCAGCCTCGGGCAAGGCATCATCCTCATCTCCCAGTATTTAGACTCCTTCCTCGCCCTCGACTCCACGAACACCGGCTTCTAATTCCAGTGACTTCACCTCTTCTATCACAGCCGAGAACCCTCCCTCCTCAACCAGCTCAGTTGCACCATCTTCGGTGGTTAATGTGTATCCTGTGCAAACCTGGGCTAAATCAGGAATTTTTAAACCCAAGACCATTTTTAACTTAAGTATAGTTGTTAGTCAACCAGATCCCACTTGCTTTACTGAGGCTAATAAACAATTAAAATGGAGGGAAACCATGGCTCATGCATTTAATGCACTCATTAATAATAACATTTGAGATTTGGTGCCCTTTGACAATTCTAAGAATCTTGTTGGTTGTAAGTGGATTTATAAGACTAAATATCATTCTGATGGATCTGTTGAACGGCATAAGGCTAGATTAGTTGCTCAGGGATTTAATCAACAGGCTGGTATTGATTTTTCTGAAACTTTTAGTCCTGTTATTAAACCCACTATTGTTCGTATTGTTCTCACTCTTGCTATTTCTTTTGGATGGGGTATACGGCAACTTGATGTTAAAAGTCTATATGTGTCAACCTCGTGGATTTATTCATCCTCAATTTCCTAATCATATGTGTCGTTTGCGCAAGGCTATTTATGGCCTTAAGCAAGCACCACGGTCCACGGGCATGGTTTCATAGGTTTAGTAGTTTTCTTCTGCAACATCAACTTTGTTGTAGTAAGTCAGATCAGTCATTGTTCATTTATCGCCATAATAATATTATTTTTATTTATTTATTATTATATGTAGTTGATATTATTATTACTGGTAATTCTGAGTCTACTATTACTCAGTTTATTTCTATTATTTCTAATCATTTTGCTATGAAAGATCTGGGTAATTTACATTATTTCTTGGGTGTTGAGGCGAGTAGGTCTCCCAACGGTTTGTTTCTCTCTCAACATAAGTATGTTTCTGATCTTCTGAACCGCTTTCATCTCCATACCGTTAAGCCTGTTCACACTCCATTAGCATCTCGCACCACTCTCTCCTTGTCTGATGGCGAGCTCGTGTCAGATTCAATTGAGCACGGTAGGTGTGTTACAATATTTAACTTTGACATGGTCTGATATTACTTATGCAGTACACTTAGTGTCTCAGTTTATGCATGCCCCCCGTACCACTCATCTTTTTGCAGTCAAGAGAATTTTCAGGTATTTGCAGGGAACACGGGATCATGGACTATGGCTTCAGCGTTCTGCGAAACCCACGTTTGTGCTGGCATATTCCGACGCAGATTGGGCCGGTTGTCCAGACAGCTCTCGGTCAACCACAAGTTTTGCAGTATTTTTGGGTCCCAATCTAATTTCCTGGAAGTCCAAGAAGCAACCTACAGTGTCCAAATCCTCTACGGAAGCCGAGTATCACGCTATTGCATACACAGTTCAAGACACCTTGCATATCACATCCGTTGTATTTGAGCTTGGCTTTCCCATTACCGAGCCAGTACATTTATTGTGTGATAATATTTCTGCTTCCTACTTGACTGCTAATTCTATCCAGCATGCCCAGAGTAAACGTATACAAATTGACTATCTTTTTGTTCGCGAACGTGTTGCTCATGGAGATCTCATTGTTTGGCATGTTCCTACTCATCTACGGTTGGCAGATATTTTTACTAAGAGCCTCCCTAGTCAGCGTTTTCATTTTTTGAAAGATAACATGTGCATTGTTTCTCCCACACAACTTGAAGGGGTGTAATAGAATTATTAAATATGGATATTTGTGTACTTTTACATTTAAACTCTTTCCTATAAATATATCAGTCAAGGCTCGGGACATCCTATTCCATTATTTCACAATTAAAAACTAGGGGTGAGTTCGGTTCTTGCGGTTCGGTTTTGACCTAAAACCAAATATAGAATCAAAGTAAAAAGTTTGGTTTGGTTTCGATTCGGTTTTACACTCCAAAACTTGGAACCACGGTTTGATTGGTTCGGTTTGTTTCGATTCGGTTTCGGTTTTTCGGTTTCTTACCAAAGATTATCATTTGATTTAAAATTGATATAATACTTCGAGGGATCAAACATATATTACATAAAGAATGCAAGCACACTACAACAAATAAAATAAAAATGAAAATAAATAAATATGTCTTGAATTAAATGAGTTTGCAAGAGATATAAAAGTATATACTATCGTATATTATTAATTTACATTGTTTGTAACTAGTTCAAAAAAAGTTGAGATGAATATTTATTGTTTCATCAATATGAATTTTTTAAGTTAAATAAAAATAAAAGTTAATTAATACTAATAACTAGTAAGAACATATTATTATCATTCAGTGTGGCTACATTATTACGGGCAATGGGCAATGAATATGTAAATAAATTTATAAACCAAACTGAACATAACACAAACATTATTTTTCTAGCACAAGAAAACCAAAGACTATAAATGATATTAGGATTAGTTAGGATTAATGCTTAAATATTGACAAATAAATTTTATATTTTAATTAGTTCGGTTTGTTCGATTCAGTTCGGTTTTGAAGGGTAAAAACCAAAACCGAACCAAACAACTACGGTTCGGTTCGGTTTTTTACATTCGGTTTTATTTGGCTACAGTTCGGTATGATTTGATTCGGTTTTCGATTTTCAGTTTTTCGGACCCAGCCCTATTAAAAACCACTGCTCAGTGTTCCAAACTTCCGATCCATTTCTCCTACAGTAACGGTAGAATTTGGTCAACAGATATCTGGTGGGCATTGCTAATAAACTTATCTATACGTTATTAGTTCTAAATTTATTATACTGTGTTATACTGATTATAAATTATAATAAAATACTTTTGTTTATAATAATTTCTAACAACCACATCCTGTGCCAAGTGTATTTAGTTCTACAAATATTTTATTGACTTGTTATTTTAAATAGATTTCTCGATTCAATGGAAACCTAATCCTGTTATCATTTACTCCATTAATCAGTTTAAGCAAAACAAAAAATGATATATGGCTCTCTCAGTAAACCACCCTGCGAAAGTGATACTTGTAATCTCCATTAAAAAAATCACCGAAAAAAGCAGTTTCTATAGTACTGCGATTGAATACTATCTAAAATTTTGGTTCAGATCAAGTAGTCATGGACCCGGGCCGGGCCGGTTCCGGTTCCGGGCCGGGCCCGGCCGGGCTTTTTTTTTGGGAAGGAAGGCCCGGGACCGGCCCGGGTAGCCACCGGGTCCGGGCCGGGCCGGGCCGGGCCTCCGGTTCGGTTATAATTTTTTTTTTTTTTTTTTGCTTTCCTAACCCCCCCACTCACCCCCACACCCCCCCAAACCCCTCCTAATCATCAAGCCCAACTTGGCTAACCCCAAAAAAAGAAAAAAAAATTAAAAAAAATTAATTCGGCCCGGGCCCGACCCGGCCGGGCCGGTTCGCCAAATTCAAGGCCCGAGCCCGGACCCGGCCACCCCACCGGGCCTAGGCCCGACCCGGACCCGGACCCGAGAACCGGGCCGGTTCCGGGCTCGCACAGTGGCGGGCCGGGCCGGTCCCGGGCCGGGCGGCCCGAACCGGGTCCATGCCTAAGATCAAGCACGTGTATTACATACAGAAACATCCGGAGATACTTCAAAATATGGGATTATACGGTTCTAAAGGAAAGGGAATGAAACTGCATTACCAAATTCAAAACCCTAGTACCCTACTAGCTTGAGAGCTATGGAAGCCTCAGCTAGGGAGCGGGTCAATACTCACTTGAAGCACTTTGCATCCAGAAGAGCCTCTCCTTCAAATGGTTCCTGATCTTCAATCATCTGGCTGACCCGCTCTTTCTGAGCTTCATCATTGATGTCAACCTCCTTCCACTCATAAAGTTCCATGTCGTACACTTCATCCAAAAGAAACTTGGGAACTTCTTTGCCTCGAAAGAGCCACAGCCCCTTGACTTTGAATGGGGGCTGCGAACCAATCACCAACATCTTACCAAAAGCATACTTCCGTGCCAAGTCCATCCTCTGAAGGAAACCGCCTACTTTATTCAAAGTTACAAAAGAGACTGTATTCTCATCATTGTATTTGTAATCACAGAACCAAAGAGAGTATCCCTCCGGATCATACATGTCCCAAAAACCTGGATGTTAACAATTTAGTAGAACAAGAAAAGGTAAGTTGAAGAAAAATGGCATGATAAAAAATTGTAATGGGACAACTTGCAAATAAAAGGCCAATGCACCTTTAATGGCAACCTCACGGAAGTTTGTTTTAGTATTAGAGTAGAGCCTCTTCCAGTCATCCAAAACCATTTTGCTTGGAGGCAAAAGATCAAGAGGGTTCTTTGGCTTTGGCTTGGGTGCCTCCTCTTCCACCCCTTCTTCCTTTGGTTTTGCTTCTTCTTTCTTCGGTTCTTCTTTTGGTTTTGCAGACTCCTTAGCCTGTGCAGCGGGCTTCTTTGATGGAGGAGGTGGAACAGATTCTGCTTGTTTAATCTCACCCAATATTTTAGAAAAGTTTGGCTGATTAACCATAGTCCAGAAATATCTCTCCACATGAGGGAAGTCCTTAGTGAAGGACTTTGTCATGATCAGCTTAAATCCAACACTAAGGTTGCAGGTCATAACAATGTCAGCTAATGTGACAGAATGCCCAACTAAGTAAGTGTTAGATGCAAGATGGGTGTTTAAGGCTTCAAGGGCTCTCTTCAATGCAGCTACTGCAATCTCCTCAGCCTACATGGACCAACAAACATAATTTATATATACCGTTTTAAGCAGAAAAAATGTGTTTCTAGTTGAATGCAGAGGAGCAAGATTCATACCGGTGGCAAATGTACACCAAATCCAAGCCGTGGGTACAACCATCGACCTGTGTTTGTATCGATCTCAGTTGCCGAAAAGTCATTCCACTGCTCAACATGTGCCTATCAAACAAATGATCAACATCATGAAAATACTTATCCAAAGATAGTCCACATAGTAATGTAAACAATTCTGGTATTATATAATTGCTATAACTCGTTAATTAAACTAATGATGAGACATATCCAATCATCACATTATGCTGCAATTTTGGCAATCCTAACTGTCGAATTCGCCACGACTTTGCATATTAGATGTGGTTTTGGGCAATCCTTGACATTGCATTGCAATTTTGACATTTCTTTTAAATCAGTAAATTTAGGCATGTTTTTGTAAACAAGATGCAACAGGGGTAAGACAGCGTACATCCGACCCCCCCCCTTTATCCCACCGTAGGTGGGGAGCCTTTGCGGCACTGGGGTGATGATGATGATGAGTGCAAATTGGGTACCTTGCACTTTTTTGTTGTCAGTTCTTATGAACAAATTTTTAGCAAAAATTAACTACTTGTTTGACTGCATTTGCAACATTGGCTAATAACAAAACGATTCCTGCAAAAGATTCTTTTGTACGCATATGAAGATTAATGACCTGTCTGGAACAAACTTTTAGGTGTTTTGATTTATTAAAAAAGTACTTTCAAAATTAATTTTTTGAAAAATCAATCTAGTAACCCTTCAACCCTTTCAGTGACAAATTGACAATAACATCAAATTCAACACATTGAGCCATTGTGGTCAATTTTACCTCTACCAACCCTGTTCTTAACAAACGATTGGAAATTAAATTCAAAATATGTTTAACTGATGTGGTTACTTTGGCTGAGTTGGCAGTGGGGCGAATTTCCAAACTTCCAACATGCCTCACAAGTATTGTCTAATGTCATTTAATTATGACATTTTTACATGCTTTGAGATTTAGCCATTATCATAAGGTAAAGCTACAATGGTATCACTAACGAAAGACAAAAAGTGGATCCAATATCTAAAAAACATGGCTATATTGACCATTTTAAAGAGTTGTCCAAAGCATGACAAATCACAAATGATTAAAATTTGACCATTAGGCTTGTTAATTAATAATGCATATATAAAATCTATTTGATGATTTAGTAAATATATCCGTTTCAAATTGTCTATAACATTTTTGGTGAAATATGTGAGTTTTTTCAATTGATTGAAACACATTACATTAAATTTAAAGTTGGCAAAAACACTACAAAATCTTCTGTAAGACATGCTAATTATACTTGGAATTTTAGAAATCCATTTGATGATTTAACTATTTTTTCATACTTGACTTATTTGTACTTCTTAAGGTAAACTACATGGAAAATGTAATTGAATTGATCACACAAAACTCTTTTATTTAAACGGAGAGAGTATTGAATTACATTAAACAAAAAAAACTTACATAATCAATCAATGAAGATCCAAAGAGGTGATTGTCAGGCTTCAACTTAGCAACTATAAGAATTGATAAAAGAACTTCAGAACATAAAGTCAATAATAAAAGGGATATTAGATACAGAAACTAACGAACAGCAACTCACCGTAGCGTGCAATGGCATTGCTCTCAAATACTGTACCATCAGGCGTTTCAAGCACAGGAACCTTTATAAGTTTTTTAAAAAGGAAAAGATAAAAAATCATTAACATAACATCAAAAAATCTCATCAATATGATATTCCTGAATTCTAGACATGCTACCTTCCCAATGGGATTCATCTTAAGAAACTCAGGAGTCTTGTTTGATACACCCATCTGGAAGTCTTTCACCAGTTCTACTTTTACACCAGTATACTCTGCAGCAATAAGTGCTTTGAATGCATTCTTGTTTGTAGCAGATGAATGTAGGGTCTACAAAATAGAATCAAGAAGTTGTCGGCAGAACGGAATGGTTACACTTAAACATGTGTAAGAATACAGTAATGCATATCTCAAAATTCTGTAAAATTGATTTCCGTTTGATTCAAATTAACTTCATGAAAGGTTCTATTTTTAACATCAAAGCAGATGAACTGGGCTCTGTGTATCTCTTAATCGTCAAATATAGTTCACTAGGTTGATATACTTAACATAAACTGAACGTTGAAAGAGATTGAACATCACATGATTTATAGCTACATTTCAACGCGCGGAAATAAATTTTACCAAAAAATTGAGCAATTGTCGGAAAAGTACTCGGGTCAGCGGGGCATTTGCAGCCATATGCAAGATATAGCAAAAGACTGGAACTTTGAATGAAAGAATCTATTTAGGGAATGAGCTAGCAGGTCAAGCGTAGATCTGCCTAAATAACAATACCCCAGCACAAAAATGAAGAAGTAAACTACTCACCAAAGCCATGGATTCAAACACTGTGTAACAGAAAGTCAGGTAAAGTGAATTCTAAGAGAGGAGAGGCCGCCGCGGTTACAGAAGGTAGAGAAAGCCCTCCGCTGTTCCAAGGAGTGAGAACTTAGGGTTAGTTAGATACGTCTACGGAGGGAGTGAGGGACGATCTCCGAGAACTATAGGATTATTGTGTGATCGGCCCACAAATGCTGGTGCAGACTGTTTCTAAATATATGCCTCAAATATTGAGCAAACAATTCTAGCAACATTTTTATCCGCCGTCATGATTTCAGTCGGTCACTTTCTCCGTCTCCCCTGTCTTATTTTCCTTTTTTGGTTGTCCCAAAATAAGTATCACATTTCCTTTTTTGGAAAAAAATATGTGATTCACAGCATTTCACTTTACTTTACTCAAATCTCAACCACAATTTTTACCTTTTCAACCCTTTTATTAAAAATTGTGTCAAAACCAAAGAAGACACATAAAATGGGATAGAGGTAGTACTTTGTAATATTTTTGAAGTTTTTTCAAAAGTATGACTAATGCTAAAAGTATTTTTTTTTATCGAATGAGGCTTAATTTATTAAAATAGCATTCAACTGTTAAGGATTGATTACTATATTTGCTTTGTTCACTATATGAGGGTGGAAACCTCCAGAATAGAAGCAATTGGGAATGAGATAGGAATGAGAGTACAAGCTTAATGAGAGAATTCAGAGTTGGGACCTCCCATTTCTTCTTTCATTCATCAACATATATACATGAATAAAATTAATTGCATCCTAAAAAATAGTTAACCCAAATACCACTACTAAAGTAGTTATTACATGACCTCCATTAGGTGCACGGATAGTCACGTAGGTTGGGAGGGTTCTGATCATCCTCTTCTCACGGTTTACTGCAAGGTGGTTATCCTCCTTATGCGTAACCTCTCATGAAGGGTGGTGAGAACAATACGTAAATGTTGTAGGTGATCTGCAAGAGAACAACTGAACAGGAGAATATCATCTATAAAAACCAATACAAACCTGCGTAAAAATGGTTTGGAAACGGCATTCACCGTGGCCTGAAAGGTAGCAGGTGCGTTGGTTAATCCGAATGGCATAACCAGAAATTCGTAGTGACCCTCAGGAGTTCTAAAAGTAGTTTTTGGAACATCTGGGGGACTGACTCGAATTTGATAGTACCCACTACGCAAATCAAGTTTCGAAAATATCACCGCTCCATGTAATTCATCCAACAACTCGTCCACAGTAGGCATGGGAAATCGATCCTTGATGGTAATGGCGTTGAGAGCTCTATAGTCTACATAAAATCTCCAAGTCCTGTCCTTTTTACGGACCAGCAAACCGGGTGATGAAAATAGGCTGGTTGACGGTTGGATAATGCCATCTTTCAACATCTCTCGAACAAAGCGCTCAATTTCATTCTTTTGGAAGTGGAGGTAGCGGTATGGCTTGACATTTACTGGGCTAGAATGAGGAAGGAGGTTAATTTTATGGTTTAATATACGGTCAGGCGGAAGCCCTTAGGGCAGGCTGAATACGTCTTGAAACTCCTATAGGATTTCTTGAATAGCCAGTGGTGTGGTTGTGTCAGTGGTGCACATTGCAGAGAGGCTGGGTTGGGATATGAGTAAGAGGCTATGTACTATGTTTCCCTTACGCTGTAACTTTATGAGTTGATGACAATAGATGGTTGTAGCGTTAGGGACTGAAATCCCCTGGAGCTTTACCGGGTTCCCGTTGTAGTCAAATTCCATGGTCATCTGTTTATGATCAGTGACTACCTTTCCCAGTCCTTCTAACCACTGAACTCCCAAAATAACATCCGCTCCAATAAACTTTAAGATGTGGAAGTCTGTCGTAAACTCCGTTCCCTGCATTGTGAAAACCACGTTTGCGCATGTTCCCTCACTCTCAATTCGTTCACCATTGCCGACTGCAACTTGGAAACAGGTGGACCTATCCACCGAAAGTTGTAAATGTTTTGCTATGCGCGGTTGGAGATAATTGTGAGAACTCCCAGTGTCAATCAAAACGGTAAATTTTTCACCTTGATGATTGCTTCTAAACGGAGCGTACGTGGTCCATGAATGCCTCCTAGGGCATGGAATGATATTTCTGGAGGAGAATCTGTCAAATCTCTGTCAGGCTCCGTCTCTGCCGGTTCAACTATAGTCGGTTTGCCATCTTCCTCACAGATTGGTTCATCCGCTAGCATAATGAAGAAGGGTTTGGTTTTGCAACGATGTCCGGGGCGATACCTCTCATCACAATTATAGCAAAGTCCTTGGGCGCGACGACTTTGTAATTCTGCAGCCGTCAACTTCCTGTTAGGTAGAGAAGTTTTTTACCCATGGTTTGGGTTGGTAGGGGCTAGGAGGGGTAACAAGGGTGCTTGGTTAGATGTATGGGCTGAAGTGGGGGTGAGGTTCTCGCTGAAGGTGTTCTCCAGGAGGCCGGCTTGGGAGTTAACACTCTGGAGTCTTGTTGTTTGTCTTCTATCAGTTTAGCCATAGCAATAGCTTCAGCTAGGGTAGCAGGTTTGATGATAGATAACTCATTATGAATGAATGGTTTCAACCCCGAAATAAAACAATCTAACATTACGTCTGGATCAAGTTGTGTTACCCGATTGCTTATGGTTTCAAACTCTGACTAATAAGCCTCGACCGTCGTTTTCTGCGTTAGCTTAAAGAGCGTTGCCCGGTGGTTCACATATGTTGATGGACCAAACCTCTGCTCCATGGTGGTGGTGAACGCCTTCCATGATGACATTTGCCTGTTTCTGTGCATCCATTGGCACCAAGATAGGGCTTGGCCGACCATGTAGAAACTAGCAATGTCAATTCTCTGTTCTTCTGCAATTTCCCAAAAATCAAAGTATTTTTCTGCTTGAAATAACCAGTCCAAGACATTTGTTCCGTCAAACGTAGATAACGCAAACAATAAGAATAACACCAGTACTTGTCTTCTTCATCACCACCACCATATGAAAACTCGGTGGGTCTAAGGAAATTGACCCGCCGTCTCCCCATTTTTTGGTTCATCCAGAGCCATTCCTTCACCAGCTATGCCTCATGTGGCTTGACTATCCCAAATCCTTCTTCGCTTTGTGTCACCCAGAGTTTCTTCCTTATTTGTTGTCCCGTCCTGCTGGGGTATACTGGGGTATATATATGTATATATATATATATATATATATATATATATATATATATATATATATGAGTAATGATCCGGTCAGGAGTTCCTGACCGGAACCGCGGCGTTTGGCCACCTTCCCGGTGGCTTTTTTTGATGAAATTTTTATGACATGTTCTCCATCAAGTCTAGTTTATCCACAAAAAAATTCAGCCAAAAACTCAATCGGGAAGGTCGTCAAATAATTTTTGCAAGTTAACTGGTTCAGAATATGTATTTTCCGGACCAGTTAACTTGCAAAAATCATTTGACGACCTTCCCGATTGAGTTTTTGGCTGAATTTGTTTGTGGATAAACTAGACTTGATAGAGAACATGTGATAAACATTTCATCAAAAAATTCCACCCGGAAGGCGGCCAAACGCCGCGGTCCGGATGGCGGTTCCGGTCAGGAACTCCTGACCTGAACATTTGTGTGTGTGTGTGTGTGTATATATATATATAGAGAGAGAGAAATGATCCTGTCCAGCACGTTTTTGTCCGAACGCCGTCCGAACATGGCCATTTGGGGCCCTTCCCAGTGGCATTTTTTGATGAAATTTTTTGAACATGTTCCTCATCAAGTCTAGTTTGTCCATACCAAATTTCAGCTCAAAACTCGACCGGGAAGGCGTTCAAATCATTTTTTGAAGTTGACTACGTTTTTTATATGTATATTTTGACGCAGTCAACTTCAACAAATTATTTGAATGCTTTCCCGATCGAATTTTGAGCTGAAATTTGGTATGGACAAACTAAACTTGATGAGGAACATGCTCAAAAAATTTCATCAAAAAATTCCACCGGGAAGGGCCCCAAATGGGGATGTTCGGACGGTGTTCGGACCAGGAATGTTCGGACCTGAACATTCCTCATATAGTAGTCTGATCCTGTCCAGCCGGAGGGACAGGACCCGCCGTCCGGCCGTCGCCATTTGGGGCCCTTACCAGTGGAATTTTTTGTTGAAATTTTTTGAGCATGTTCTTCATGAAGTCTAGTTTATCCATACCACATTTCAGCTAAAAATTCATTTGGGAAGGCAGTCAAATGATTTTTGGAAGTTACCTGCGCAGTTTATATACATATAAAACGCAGTTATCTTCCAAAAATCATTTGAGTGCCTTCCCGGTTGAATTTTTAGCTGAAATTTGGTATGGATAAACTAGACTTAATAAGGAACATGCTCAAAACATTTCATCAAAAAATTCCACCGGGAAGGGCCTCTGATGGTCTTGGCCGGACGGTCCCTCCCGTCCCTCCGGAGGGACCTGATCTTTTCTGTGTGTGTATATATATATGTGTGTGTGTGTGCGCGCGCGCAAATGCATTGCATGTTATTTGTTTTCTTATATCATAAATATAATCATGGTACAAATCTATAAACAGTGAAGAGGACACATTGACATGGCTAAACAATGTTCTCAATTAACTAAAGAATTATTCTACTTGTACACGTTTGTGTACACGCTTGTGTACACGTTATATAAGCTCGACTATTTTTACCTTCAAAAATGATGTTTGTACCCACTCTTATACCCACTTTTGTACCCACATATGTTTGTGAAGTGTTTTATTTTTGTCTGTGAATCGAGTTCATAGACAAAAAAACATTTCACAAACATGGTGGGTATAAGGTGGATATAAGAGTAAGTACATAAGCATTTTCGTTTTATTTCCCTTTTACCTCTTCCTCTCTGCTCTCTCAACTCCCCCGCACACTCGTCTCTCAATCGGTCCCCCCCTCACCTATTCCTTGTGTATTTTCTTTTCTTTCTTCTGCGTTACCCTTCCCCAACTCTGTACTCGTCTCTACCGTCTTTCATCCCCTGTTTCTTTTGTATCACTGTTCCGCCCCAATGCCCCATGGAGTTGAACCTTGTTGCCGCCCTACCACTAAATATCTCCTACGAAATCCACTCAAGGTAATAAGCCCCTTCTTTTTCTCTAATGTGAGCTCAGGGTTTTAGATTTTTTTTTAAGTAAAGCACAATGCTTACTGAAATGTCTTTAGTTTGAAATCTAATTTTATGCTTAGTATATTTTTGTGAAGTTGTTTATTGAGCTATTTGCTTTCATTTTTGGAATTTGTGGTGTTGATTATTGAGATTATAATCCAAGCAT